TCGCAGTTCATGCCGCAAAGTCCACTGCTTGTTGCTGCAAAGAATCATCATATACTACTGGGATAAAGTAACTGTGCATTTTGTTTATGTTATGCTATTTTTAATGCAAAAAGATGATAACATGATTCTTGGTGTATTTCTTAATCACTGTTTAGCTGTTGACAGGATAACATCGAAATCTGTATGATTTGACACAAGGTATCGTGACAAGCCCATGAATTGATGTGGTGTCAAAAGTCAGTTCACAAATCCAGTATCGTGTGTGTCCACCATTGGCGTTGATGCTGGCTTAACAACGATGACGCATACACGACACTAAGCGATTGAAGAAAGCTTAGGGAATGTTTGTTCCATATCTGAACCAACGCTTGTCCTAATTCAGCTAATGTCAATGGCTGATTCTGGGCTTGAAGTAAACGTCACTCCATTTCTTCCCAAGCGTGCTCGATAGTGGACAGGTTCGGAGGAACAGCTGTCTCAGGAAATCTGTCACAACACCAGCGACATGCTTATGTGGACGGGCGTTATCTTGCGTGAAGTTACGTCTCTGTCCTTGAATGAGGTGCTGCACACGAGGCCCAATGATCTCATCCCGGACCTGTCAGATTACCATCGACAATGACAGGTTTTGTCCGACCATGATATGTGATGTTCCCCCGTATCATAACGCCTCTCCGCCAAACTGTTGGCGTTAAACAACGCACGTGTTAGCATACCGTTCACCTCGCCATCTGTACACCCTTGCCCTGCCATCTGAGCTGTCCAGATGATATCTCGACTCTTTCGTGAAGAAAACACCATCCCAACCGTAGATGCTGTCTGCACCAGGCAAGACGTGCCTGTCGGTGACGTTGACGCAACATTGGACGTATTGTAGGCCGTCGGCGTTGGATTTTGTGCTCCCTCAGCCGGTTCCGTACAGTCCTGGAACTGATTGGACGTAAGCCAGGAATGGCCCGAGAAGTCAAACTGGCAGTCTGGAATCGATTCCTTACATGGATCAGGCGAATGTGATTGTCTTGCTGGCGTATCGTCTCGCGTGGACGGCCGGTCCGAGGCAAATCTCTCGTGTTCCCATTATGTTGAAAATGTCTCCATAGAGATGAGATTGTGTTTCGATGGACACCAAAATGCCTGGCCACTTCATTTTGGGCCACTCAAGTACCCACAGTGCAGAGAGGTTCTGTAAGCCGTGGCATGGTGTACGCGCAGTTTACGTTAAAATTTACGTGTTTTCCACAACATTCAGAGACTAGAGAATAATCAGCCGTTCTTCAGTTTTCAATGTCAGGTGTGTGAACTTCAGGTGTCAAAAAGCATACATTAAGTGAGTAAGTTGATTGTGCACAAAGTGCACGTGCCACGCGCAATAAGTGGCATCAATTTTCACGCAAAGTGCTTTGCTACATGCTTATTCAGGGTTATGTTTAAAAGTTTTCAAATAACTTTCATTTTATGCAATTTCATGGTATGCAAAGTTACTGCTTCCGTTAGTATACTACTACCATCACGACATTTAATCACAGGTTATCACGGTGAGCCTGAACATCCCACTTGGTTGCTGAAGATCAATTCACGGGTCAGTGACTATGTACGTTACCATTCGAAAAGCGAGATGATGTAGGATGGCATCACGAGTCATCGGAGGACACTATCCTTGATTGTTAATGGCGAATTCAATATTGTTCGCTTGGGTAATGCCCGCCTCATGCAGCCTTCATAGTGAGGCAACAAAACAATATATCTTGCGCCATGGTTGTCTGTTTCTCCATACCTCACCAGTAAGGAATATGTCTTTGATGAGATGGGTACACGCCTACGACAGGACCAGAAGATACCGGCTAGGTTAACCCAAATTTTGGCTGCTTTCAATCATCTTCTGTGCACTTCCTACGTACACACAATTTGAGGCGACACCCGATATTGACATTGTTAATTTTGCTGTTACCTCATGGCGTTTCGGCGTTTCGCTCTAGTGTTGTAAACGTTTTGTTACTATAAAAAATGATCAGATGAATGACGAAATATTGTTAATAATAATAGTGTATAACCTTTAATCAAGTACAGACATTAGAATTGCAATATAATAAATTAACCAGAATTGCACTTTATTATTTTAAGATATTCTAGTCAAACTTTTTTATGAGTAATTCTGTTAAATACTGCAACAACCTGCATATGAACCAAATATTTCCAGTAAATATCTCTGTCTCTGATTTAAAAAACACCAGCATTTACTGACCGATACGCCCACAGCCCCTTATCAGCTTGCGAGTAATTATACACAAACAGTGCTTGCAGTGGTCTTCTGTGTAGAAGTAAACGTATTAAAGTGAACCGTAATTGGTATATAAACTGGAGTACAGAACCACCAGTTGTTAGTTCCATGGAATATACCATTTGTGCACAGGGCAGAAAGGTGAGGGAGAAATCAATGATAACACAGGCTGCCGTCTTCCTTACAGAAACAAGTGTTGGGTTTGCAGACTCACTCACAGAGCTGCAACAAGGTAACTGTGACTGTGAACACTCTCTCGTCTGGTTGGTGTGAGGTGAGTGACTGTTTTGCCTTTGTATTTTTATCGTTATCAACATAGTTTGTGTTATATAAATATATGCATCTGGATATCATTATAGATATATCTGTATTATTAAAATCTTACAGCAATTTGTCCCAGGCCGTGCTGCACATGGACTACACGCTTCCAAAGAACATCACAAACTTTTTAATTTTATTTTAGTATTCATGTTTGAGCATGCACGTGAAGCATAGCTGCACGATATCCGATGGTGTTGAGAAATCTGTTCATTTGGGAATCACAACGTATCCCCAAATTTCACTCTGCAGCGGCATGGTCCATAGTATGGTGATCTATCTTCAGTTGTAGCCTGTTTTTATATTATATTGTCATCTATGGTTATACTGTTTTAGGTTTAATTACTAGTTTTAAATTCATATCTGTGATAATATAGTTATTTTACTGTCCTTCGTTGACAGGTTTTTATAACTGACCATTTATTACTATACATCTACCAATTATTGGTCTCGTCACGATATGGCTGAAACATTGCCGATGTGACGATAAATATTAACTCACAACTCAACCGACTGTTTATGCATTTACGCACAACCGTCGGTTCACCCCAGTAGGCATGGATATAGAGAATCTCACCCAAGTGTCTTCTGATATCAAATATATTAACACGAGTTGATTAAAGTTGATCCGAGGCACGAGGGTGAGATTATATTTATCATCCGAAAGCATTCTTCATCAGTTATCAGGAAAAGAATGAATTTATCTGAGCACATAATTGCCATTAGGCTTCTGTAGCAGTGAACCCAGTGAGGTCATAGCATTATGACGGCATCAACATTGTGGCGTCATAGCATTGTCAGCTGTGGTCTTAGTGATGTCAAAGCATTGTGAGGTCATTAACTGACGATGTATTAGCATTATGACAATTCAGTTGTTGCGATATCTACAATGTAGATATCGCTTGTAGATATCGCTTGTCCTCACACAAGCGAATTCCACTGTGTGAGTCAGTTTTGGATGATAAAAATGTAACAGCTGGTTCCTCATGATATAACTGAAATATTGCTCATATGGCGTACCATCTAACTCGAGCACTTGTAAATTATATGAAAATATGCATGCATTGTATCATCATAGATGTGTTTTCTGGTACTAGTAACTTTGCATTTGCTCATCACAATTGTGTGTGTGTAAGATGGTTCGCATTACCACAGCAAAAACTGTGTCTTTTGGTATTGAGGCGTATGTGTTCATAAATTATATTTTCGTATGCGTTTGACAAATCGATATTATGCCCATTTTGTGAAGTGAAATATATGACACTTTTCAAGATGAACCAATCAATCATGTCTTACAGGTGAAGAATTCGTACTTAGATTTTTGTCACATTTATAATGTGGATGAAGGAAGATAGATGCTGTTCTTAAAAGAGTTTGTAAATTACGTATCAGGATCTAGTGAGTCACTAGATCCTTGTGACTGTAACGAAATGATAAATACATTCAGGTAATATGACATCCTCTCATCAAAGGACAGTATGAAAACCAGATTACTTGTATCAAACGCCAGAAAAGGAAATTACGCCACATAACAATACATGATAAAAACTATATTTTTCGATCGCCTGCAACTAAAGGTAGGTCACTTTACTAGAGCTCCCTGCCCTGGCAGGATTTACAACATCCCTTCAAGTGCTGGTCATTATTGCGAATTTAGCCAATTTCAAAAGACTGGTAGAATTAAACAGCCTTCTGCCAGACCTCGGCCTTCAGTAAATTGTAACACCCCTAAACAACGTTACCATGATAATATTCCACGTATATGCCCGTTTTCCCCGATATTCTAATGAAATATCAGCACTCTACACATTTTAACATTAACCAGTACATTTTAACAACAATGCGTAATAACAATGGATTTATCTTCCTATCAAATATCTGTATTATTCTATTTAGAGTCCAATTTCGAAATTCACTGAAATGCTTTTAATACACTAGCACTGGCATACTATCCGTGTTCACAAGAGTAACTGTACACTTAGTGCAAGATAATCGAGCAGATAATAACAACCTTTAGGGCACATGTTTTTAGTTCTAACTCAATGTCACTAGGTGAAATATTCACTGCAACGCGTTTACAGTGAACAATTGCGTGCGTCAAAAAAAAAAACAAAAAAACCCACTTTTCAGGAAGGGAACCTGCCTTGGAAAGGCTTTGGTCAAATTAGTCAAAAGGTCAAGGTCACTGTTGGGATTTTGTGAAAGATTACTACATCAGTCAGGTTCTAAGGCATGGTTACAAGTCATTACATGAAACATCAATATCACGACGGGGACGAGAGAAGTTGGCTTCACACATCATACCCATTGTTCGCCTCCTTCAATCTTGAACCTAAATGTTTAGCCATGTTACTATTTGTTTAGTGTCACTGTCATCCAAAGCTGCCTTTTTCTTTAATTACAGTTGGGCATCAGCGGCCGATAGATGAACAAACAGAGCAGAGGAAATACCATATCTATTCTGACAGTTCTAAGTCCCCAAAATCGCATTAACATTTCTTGAGCACCCAGTGTTATCAAAATGAAAGCAAACATGTCTAATTACACTTCTAATGTTCCGTCACAAAGAAACCCTGAAGGTTGGAGGAGGGTGGATGACGTTGCTTATGAAATTGAGACGTATTACCTGTGGGTTATAGTTGCACTTGGATTTCCTGGAAACTGCTTCACAATCATCACCATTATTAAGATGTGTCCAGCAAGGTCCCTCACCGTTTACATCGCCCTCCTCGCCATCGTCGACAACATGGCCATCGTCAACAAGCTTCTTATGTTCGTGCTGCCTGACCGAGGAGTACAGATTGGACTGTCTGGTTGCAGATTTCTTGGATTTAGTGGTAACTTTCTCATTACTTACGGCAACTGGCTGCTTGTTGGGTTGTCAATTGAGAGGTTCGCTGCCGTGTGGTTTCCGTTCCAGATCGGCAAAATATGGACCTTCAGAAAATCCTTATCAGTAGTCATATCGATAACCATACCTCTTGTAGCCTTGTTTCTTCATCTGTTCTGGACAATGGATTACAGTTATGTTGCCCACAGTAAAAGTGTATTCTGCAAAATCAACGAGAAGTATTTATATTTCATGGTTCATATATGGTACTGGGTCAATGTCCTCGTGTATGCCGTGGTGCCATGTGTCCTGCTTCTAGTGTTTAACTTACTCATCATCGCTGGTATTGTAAAATCTACCAAGGATCGAAGATCTTTGAACAGAAACGAATCGAGCACTGATCGCAGTTCATCAACAGACCGGCAACGTCAAATCACTATTATGCTTGTAATATCGGCAATAACCTTGGTGGTTCTGACTACCCCAAGGTGTGTCTTGCTCATAATGTCGCCCTACCTAAATCCAGCCAACAAGTCTATGGAGGGAGCGGTTCTGTATCTGATTGATACCATCGCTTATATTTTGTGTGACTCAACACATGCAATTAACTTTACCTATATTCCTTCAGTGCTCGACGATTCAGGAACCAATTCATTGACATGTTTGTGTGTCGCAAACAAACTCCAGCAGCACCAGCCACACAGTACATAACCCTTTCCACCCGCCCTTCAAAAGATAGTGCATAGGTCAGATGCCTTATATACGAGTGAACTCAGTATGAGATCACATTTTCAAACTACATTAACCCAAAATTATTGTAACTTATTAATGTTGAGTGTTTATATTGGAGTGTGCACTTTATTTCAGAGAATAAGCAGTGGAATTAATGATGATAACAGGCAAGTTTCACTTCAAATTGCGATTTATCATCGCAAATGTATCACTTTATATAATACCTTTCCGTCACGCGTGTGATTTTGAACGTTAAACCCATCACGATTAGGTCGGATGACAGGTTTCTTGAAGGCCAGCAGAGCCTGTAAGGTGAAAAAGGTTCATTAAACAAGAACTGTTCGAACAAGCAGAAGAAACTAGTCAGTGAATATGTCTCCTAATTAGAAGAATTAATGGAGACGGAACAGCTGGCACTGCATCATATTGCGATATTGGTTGTTCTTGTTCTGGTGACAGATGCGAGTTGTAACTACTGTTGGATGCAATTGTGGGACAAGGTTAGTGTTAATTATGGCTTCCGGATTGTTATTTCCAAACTGCTCTCGTGGCCTTCTTCTTCATTTTTCAGGGACTATGATATGTTTGGTAAGATGTCTTGAGTATTCTCTATTATTGTGTATTTTTATCAAGACTCTTGATCGGTGTGGACTAGACATATTGCAATCTGCTACGATGTAAATATTCTCTTTGTACAACTATTGTCTACATGTATGATGTATGCCAAGTATTTAAGAATAAATATTTGACTGTGTAAATATATATTTTGTGTCATATTTATGCCAAGATTACAGCTATAGTAATTTGAAGGAAACAGATGGTTTTAATCCATAATATTTCCAAGTAAACATTAATAAATGAGACATACAGTTTCTCAATCCATTGACGTCACAGGGGTCCATATTTACCAGACCTATGAAAATCCACACGCGTGCAGTCTGTGATTCAATGTCCGCCGGTTATTTCCGGGGTTATTCTAGTGAATAAAAAAAGAAATATTATATGTCCGTGAGTCATTTCAGTATTGTTCATCTAATGCATTCGTGACGTCCAGTAATTGTTTGGATCAATAGGTTCTATGGTAACTTTATACATTGAAACGTAATTATTTTCACACCTTCCCGCAACATATCGTTTAACACCATGCAATTAGAATTAATAACCCGGCCAAATTATTATCTGAACTGTCATCTTGCAACCAGACATATTGTCTGAATAGTACTCATTGTCCTTGTGCTTTGTACCTTCACTATCCAGGTTGGACTTCGTAATAAATGAAACTCTGCTTCCACAGCAGTAAACGACTTTGACAACGACCAGCAGCGTTTTACGCAACTCTTGTACGGAGTTTCTCTTGCTTTCATTGTAACTATAATCTATACAGCATGTATTGCTTCTTTGCACGAAGTTCTTCATGTAAATGATTCATCATACTACTTCTATATATATATATATATATATATATATATATATATATGTGTGTGTGTGTGTGTGTGTGTGTGTGTGTGTCATGTCATGACAATGTGTAACTAAGCGCCATACGTACCCGTGTTCTGTAAACAAACATAAATTTCAATGAATAACGCTAACAGCTGAATAATACTAGTCAGAATCTGTTCTTAAGTCTTTAAATGTATTCATAAATTCATATAGATGACTAGTGAAAGAAAACAAATAATATGTTGATGTTTAGGTAACATCAATAAATCTGAATGAACAACGGTACAGCTCTGATGTTCTCGATGACCATCCTGTAAACATAAGGCCAGTCTTCGTCGACGACAATGTTACGCCACGTCTCGCACATGCAGTAGGGGGTTTCGTACGTCAAGAGGACGTAGCAACTCTTCCTTGTCCAACAGAAGTCCAGGCCGCGATTTCTCGAAACAAACTTAAGTCTGAGTTTTGACTTAAGTCCGAATATTTACAAGAATTTGAGAAAACGCATTTCCCATGTTAAACTGAAATCGATATTAAGCTCAAACATAGTAGACAATTTGAGTTTGGTGAATCGAATACTTAAGTTTTTGGGGCAGTGGAGATAAAAATTGAGCTCTTTCAAAGTGTCAAACTCAGTTTGAAATTTGAGTAAACACTAAAGTTTGTTTCGAGAAATCAAGGCCAGGTCTCAATCCCACAGAGCATGTTTGAGATATCATGGGTCACAAACTGCGCCAGAGAGCTAATCCAGTACAAAACCAGGATGTACTGAACAAGCCTTCCACCAAGAATGCAACGCAATATCTCAAGCTCAAATTCAACGTCTGATACAGTCCCTGGTGAGGAAGGCCAAGGCTGTTATTACACGTGGTGGAGGTTACACAAGATATTCACGTTGTTCATGGTTATTGCTACTTATGTGATTTCTTGTGGATTGTTTTCCAGAATCCTGAATATGACCATACTTGTTAACGTCGTACAACCAGTATTATCAGCACTACATATTAATCATTCCTTGAGGGTCCGTTATGCCGAGAGCAATTTAAATCGAAGTATGGATAAGTTCCATTGCTATGGTTAATGGTAACATATTGATACTATGAAAAATATAGGGCTTGGGGATACCTTTTTCCATTTGTCATCCACTTGGCAAACGTCTGTCGGATCAAATGTGAATCAACAATAACAATGCACAAAGTTATTAGCTCGTATTGGTGCAAACATGTGATTTAAAACCAGAAACATGTTTTTGCAATTATATATTGCATATCTAAAGTAGACAAGAAAGTAGACACTGTTGGATTTACAAATATATTAGAATTTCAATACTTAAAACAAACAAATCTATTCATTCAGTTTCAATTATTGTCTTGAAATGTCACATATGGACGATTATTAGTAAAATTTATAAAGTACACTGTATAATCTAAAAGCCTTGTTTTGAAATGTAGCACTAACGGGTTACCCGCCCTGACTAGTCTGAAATAGAACGATGATTGGTTCAGCACGCATTTTTATAACAGTTTAGTAAGGCTAGATGTCTCCTGTTGAGTATGCTTGCTTTCATCATTTTTAAAGACATTTCAATTTTAGTGTATCCTTTTCATTTCAGAGACTCAAGGTTTGTCGACGGATCGATATGTTAACCTTATAACGCAATAACTAGTTTTTCTCTGTTTGAAGTAGCACAACTGGAAAACTGGAAATCGGCATTAGGCCTAACTCACTCACTCTCTAAACACCTATGTCAAAAGTTAATGAAAAGCTCTCATGCAAAATAGGAACGAAAATATTCTTATCGTCCTTAGTTTTGTCGAATGGCATTATCAAGAACACTTTCAACAATCATCTCAGTCATAATATGCTCAATAAAGAAAAGCATAGGAAATGATGAGAATGATGTTGTTTATTCATGAATTATGTAATATTTTTGAATGAGTGATGTTGGTCACGTGTTAACTGGTTTAGTGCACAGACGCAACTATTGTAGCTTTGGACAATAATGTGTATATAAAACTTTTCAACAATTGTTTAAACCAAAAATGCAGACGCACAGACCTACATTTTCTTAAGAATGAAAACGTCATAAGTTCCATGTCCATTCACACAGCTAGAAATTTCAGTTTGGTTTTGTGTCCTGTAAACTGTGCTTATCGTGTAGGCGAGTGAAGTGACTTGGTAAAGTTGTTGCCTTCACGGGACGCAACTCATAATATTACTATCTGGCACCCGTTACATAGGAGGAATATTATTGCAGACAAGCGTGCAGACCCATCACCATAGCTGATCTTAAACCTGAGGTTTCAAAATATCGATTTGTGTTCATCCTACAACTGTGTCCTGGAACACGCAGCATGGTACATGAAAACAACGTCCTTATTGTTTGTTATCGTGCTATAACAATACAACCATTCCTTCATAGTTTGAGCCGAATGTCATATGCAGTTAATTTTCAATATTGAATTTACATACAACCATATATACATGGAGAATTTTGTACAGATAAAACCTATTTGCTGCAGGAAGCACAATGACAGATTACAAATGAAATTAAATTGCAACCAAGCCATTTTGCTTCCATTTTGGTCGCTCCCAAATATTACGCATCAAAGTCTTTTAGGCTGATGTTCCCATGTGTAATACACCTGACTCGTGACCGACATGTATGTGTCTGTTGTCCGAATTATTATCGGACATAACTTTATGAAATGAAAAATGAATGGACCTATTCCAGAAGCCCACATTAACTTGCAGCTGAATGTTGTTTAGTATGACGTTGGTCTGTAAATAATCGAGTCTCGACCAGGACATCCAGAGGTTGACACCATGAGCATCGCAATAAGATTCTAAGATATATATCAGTTTGTTTGTTGTTTAAAGTCACACTCAGCAATATTCCATCTATATGGCGGCGGTCTGTAAATAATCGAATCTGGACCAGACAATCCAGTGATGAGCAGCATGAGTATCGATCTATGGAATATGTATATGATGACATGTGTCAGCGAGCCTGACAAGCATAGGTTGCCGAAGACCAATTACAACTCGGATCTTCACGGGTAGATAAGCATCGTACCACCCGATTCCATTAGTCGTATGTTAGGGTGATCACGTAATACAATGATAATGTCTAGACCGTGACTGAAGGTATGACAAAGTCAAATCACCAAGTTTGATCCACTTGAGAGAGGAAATTTAACCCATATCAGGGTGTTGTGACGTTGCAGTTGGCCTCGGTGCCGTTGTATAAAACGATCTAAAGGTGAGCACTTAGACATGCGGCAGGCTAAAGATTCTTATCGACGATATCCTTTAAAATTCTTCAGTGAAGCCATTTAATACTTGAATATTCCGTTGAACGAGCCAAAAGGGGCATCAAAAGAACAAGAGTTTAAATTTACTGCATATTAATTTCTAGGATCTTTATTACAGAGTTCGTTTTTAATTGATTACAATATATCGCCTCAAGTGAAAACTCTGAAAGTCAGATTATTGATTTGAACGACAGAACTTCTGGCCTGCTGTTTTAGATCTTCATGTGGTGTCCTCCTCTTAACAAAACTCATTCCCTATGGCTATGTTTGACACTGATCAAACACAAGACTCGTCCATGATTTAGAAGTTGTCAGTTCCAGCGCTGTTTCACCAATATGATGCGGTTGATGTTAAGTTTTTTTAAAGCTGAGGGCCTACACTACACGTCCTTCTTTGCACTTGAACCTGACGTACAACTGATTTCTCGTTTAATAGAGGCTTTTAGGTCTTCGTGTGGGATCTGCCCAGATCAATCATTCAGTCACAAAGTGAACACAACTCGTGTTATGTGAATCGAGCCAGCAGTTGTGCCCAGCACTTTGGTGTTAACCATTGCCGGCTAGACACTTTCTCTGCAACGATTGTTTGGATTACATGCAAGGATGTCATGAACGGCAATTCGACGGCCATTAACTAGCATCATTTGCATTCAGAACTAGTCTATGTTCCGTGATTGCCGATGTCGGAAGACTACGTAATCGCACGAAATTACAGGACGTGGCCGATCTTGAAAGTAAGCAGTGCCAGTTTACATTGATGGGATAATTTTCAATGTAATATTTTACTGTTGACCATTTGAATCATAACTGTTTAGGAGATAACAACATATACTCGTCTTTATAACACACACACGTGTGCATACAAATACACACACACACACACACATAGAGACACACTAGCCAATGAGTACAATGGAGATGGAGTGAAAGGGGTTGGGCGCAATTAGAAGCTGATTCCTATGTTCACACAAACAAAGAGGAAATCAAGACCTGTTCTGACAATGCCCACGTTTTGTGGATAAACAGATCTCATTTAACAGAAACACTAACAACAACTCAGCTCGACAACAGCGCACCTGACATATGCAAAAGACCCGCAACACAACAGGGGATTCACAAGAAAGTTTACATGATAAGTAGCGTGTGTCTACCTTGGCCCCTTTGTCTCACTGAGGAAGCTATACGTCGATGAAAGTATTCCGGCAGTCCCAGCAGCTTTGTTGTTGGAGGGGTGTGGGGAGGGTGTGTGGGGGTGTGTGTGTGTTCTGATGACATCGTGAACGTCGTTCCATACCATACCGTGTTCTATGGGAAAGACATCATGCGGGCCATCCCATTAATATTGTTCTGATTACGATGCTGCTTTACAACTCGAGCAACACATTGAAACGTCAATCTATGGTTGTTCTATTACGAAAACGATAAAGCAGCCATTAGCATTATCTCGTCTCATCATTCAAATTCCCCTCAATCACAACTAGCGTCCTTGTTGCAGCTGTTATCCCACCCCATATCATAGCGCCCATTCTAAACGACCCCCCAAAAGAATACTTTGGCTCATGTAATATTGTGCGCCTGTTGACGCGTGTACTGTCCTCAGCTCGGTAAAGAAGGAAACGAAAACCCTTTTCCAGTCAGGTGCTTCCCATCGCAAGTTTTGCTTGCTCCACCGGAGATGTCGTCAGAAATGGCCAGGTCTTGCTGGATGCAGTGGACGCATAGAACGGTTCTCGCAGATACACCAGTGTTGCCAGTTATGGTACGGTCTGTCGGAGGTGCGTGGTTCGAATCCATCAGCCTTGGCGCGTGGTGGTTACTGGAGGAGACTGTCTGTAACACCATATTGTGTTTCCAGGGCCGTTGATTCTACGAGCAACGTCACGCAGCGAGGTACCAAACTGAATCATACCTATAGCTCTCCATGTGTAATTTCCCCGGTTTGGCATGTCGAACTTGTTCCAAAACGATGAATGTAGATATATTTCTGACTCCTGGGAATTCTCTGACTCTCTGGCCTTTTATAGTGAACATTACTGGACATTTTTATATCGTATGCCATGTCATGTCCTTTGCAAATTTCGTGCAAATCGAACAGCTGTCTGTTTGTTTTTCTTCGACCAATTTAATACACCCTTACTCAGGTTCAAAACTAAACATTCATTCACCAATAAAACAATTCCATTTCACAATAACTGCCTCTGAATATATCTATATCTATCAATGTTTTAAACGTTTGATATAACACTTCATCAATGAATATCGCCTGTATCTCGACGAAGTAAAGGAACCACATCGTCAGGCAAGTTCATGATAGATACGAGTTCTATTAAAAGGAAATACGTTTCACACAGAGACAATTTTTTCACAGTATTTCAACACCTGGATAATCGCCATTGATGCAACAATAACACTCAAAATTATAATCAACCCATTAGTCTCCAACATCTTTACAATTTATGGGTCATATAGTAGGTTACGATGAGATGCCCGCTCGCACCGGAAAACAAATCACGTTAACTGCGTCATAATGTGAATAGCATGCAATGCCATGCTTGATGGTGAGCCTTTCATCACATGGGATACGCTGGAAGTCCCTTGGTTCTTAGTCTGTCTCACAGTCCCTGAACCACATTATTTCCCCTACTGCCAAGCCCTAAATGAAGAAAGTCTAGTACTGAATCTCTGGTCTCCCTGAGACTCCTTTTCAACTTAAATGGGCTTGCTTGTTACTATCAAAATTATATATACATTCAGAGACTAAGAGTTAATCTACTTGGTTCTTAGCATGGTAGTGTATATTTTATCACTGCAATCCATAGCCAGGTTTTGGTGCGTTATGTCTATTAATATACAATTTTAATGTTGCTATACTAGTTTTAAATATACTACTGGAACAAAGTAACTGTGCCTTATTTGATGTTATGCCATTTGTAATGCAAAAAGACAATAATATAAGTTCTAACATTGTGATGAGGGGTATCCATCCGGTGTTAGGTTTAATCCACCGAATTTATCTTACCGAATGTTTAAGTCTCTCATTATAGAAATACAACACACTGAAATTAAATGATTTATTCTCCCTCGAAAAGAGTTATACCCCGCTTGCGACCCGAACATACCTGGTACTTTGTTCAAGGTCATATGAACTAAACAGAGATGGACATTCTGATATGAGGTAGGATAACATGACTTGTGATGTGTTCCTTAATCACTGTTTAACTGTTTACAGGATACTATCGAAATCTGTTTGATTTGACACTAGGCATCGTGATACGCCCTTGAAGAGATGTGGTGTCAAAAGTCAGTTCACAAATTCCGTGTCGTGTGTGTCCACCATTTATGTTGATGCAGACTTGATAACGACGACGCATAGACGACACTAAGCAATTGAAGAAAGTTTGGGGAATGTTGTTCCATGTGTCAACGAACGCTTGTCCCAATTCAGCTAACGTCAGTGGCTGATTCTGGGCTTGACGTAAACGTCGCTCCATTTAGATGCTTGATTGGCATTTTAGAAGATGATATTTGATGAACATAGAGATTTTTTCTGGGTTACATCTTCTTTTTATTCTCGAGTACAACGTTTCAGGGCTTGTTCTGGCCCCATCATCAGGTAAACTGAACAGTAACTGTTAACTCTGGCCGTGACGTCACAATGCTTATGACGTCACAATGCTATGACGACGCAATACATGTGGTGGTCAATAGATACAGATGACATGGCTCATAGAATACATGTTATTATGAATATATAAGATGTCATTTACTGCAAAATTAATGGATCAATTGATCAATTTAGAACTGTGCACATACTTATACAAAATTGTTGATTGAATTAGAAATGTACAGAGACGTATTATAAATGTATAGAATGTAAAGTAATAGCAGTGTATACATAGAAATTATGCTTTATACATGGGAACAGTGACGAGGGTAGGGTATTGTCTTATTGTTTTATGTACCATGCATTTGGGAGGTAGACACCCTGGTCCCTGTTTGTTGCTGGTTTTGTGCGTTTGATGAAGATAGCTTCAATCAACTTGCGTTTACGCCAGGCACTGATGTTTTTTGAGAGGACTTCAGTTTCCCAGTCAATTTCATTATCGGGATTATTCATAATGTGTTCAGAAACTGCAGATTTTAGATCTGATTTGTCCACTGAAGTTTTGTGCTCTTTCACACGTGTAGCTACTGGTCTGCCTGTCTCACCAATGTAGATGTCACCACAGTCACATTTCTCCATTTCTTCCCAAGGGTGCTTGATAGGTGACAAGTCCGGAGAAACAGTTGGCCAGGGGAGTACCGGAATGTTCGAGCGACAAGTGGACGGGTATTATCCTGCTGATGTTACGTCTCTGTCCTTGAATGAACGGCTGCACATGAGACCCAATGGTCTCAACCTGTCTGACTGCCATTGACAATGACAAGTTGTGTCTGACCATGAGATGTGGTGCCTCCTAATACCATAACGCTGACGCCACCAAACTGTCGACGTTGTACAACGCACGTGCCAGCATACTGTTCACCCCATCGTCTGTACACCCTTGCCCTGCCCTCTGAAGTGTTCAGATGAAAACGCGACTCGTCAGTGAACAAAACACCATCCCAGTCTTGTCTCCTGCACCGTGCATGATGTCTGCATCAGGCAAGACATGCCTGTCCGTGACGCTGGAGCAAAATTGGATGCATGCGAAGTTTGTTGTGCTCCCTCAGTCGGTTCCCTACAGTCCTGGAACGGATTAGACGTAAGCCAGGAATGGTCCGAGCGGTCCAACTGGCAGTCTGGAATCGATTCCTTTGAAGGTCAGCCGAATGAGTTTGTCTTGCTGACGTAACGTCACGCGTGAACGGCCGGTCTGAGGCCGTATTCCCATTATATTGCGATGGACACCAACATGTCTGGCGTTTCAAATAATTTTAATGTTATGCAATTTTATCTTAAGCACAGTTACTTTTTTTCCCGATTTCAGTACAAATAAAAATCAGTGTAGATGTCAGTAAATTTCAGTAAATATACATAATCCCTGACGGAATCAGTAAATTTACATATTTACTGATTATACATATTTACTGTAACATTTATTTTACTGGGGTCGTCGACATGTTATGATATGATGTGTATCTTTTTCTATTAATGATTTGGCTGAAATATGGCTGATGTGGCTATTGATATAAACTCATTCACCAGTATTATGGGTGTCATGAAAATGAATTTGCCAACACTGGCAAATTCCGACCACAGTATTTTACGGATGCTTCAATTATTTGTGTTCTACTGAATCTTCGTGATGTTATTCATCTACGGGGGTACCCGTAAAGATCCGGGTTACCACTGGGTGCTTATATCGCCGTGTACATGTGCAAGCACCCTGGTCTTCAGCAACCCATTTATGAGACGATTAACGGGAGCGTCAGACTCACCGACTTGGTTGATATAATCGTATCCCACTCGTGTAGATCAATGCTCCTGAAGTCAATCACTGGATTATCTTGGTCCAGATTTGACTGTTTACAGACTGCCGTCATATACCAGGGGATATCAAACAGTTCTAATTATCACCAAGACTTGTTCAGGATACAAACTTTATTTTGCTTTCATGTACTTATGATTTCTCTACAGTCACCATCCCGAGTTACACATTTCTGCCACCGTTTCTTGACTTTGCACAGAACGGCTGAATAGAAGTCCCCAGATTTCATGCACCTTGGCCTTTTTCGGAGGTGATGACGTGGCATGTTTCCACTCTTTACTCATCTCCTTTTGTCTCAGGATCATACAAATAGAGCCAACATTCGTCCATGGTTACAAGACATCTGAAGAATGCCTGTCGTGACATGTCCCGTCGAGTCTGTCTTTGAAGATGAGTCAGTAAGCGAGGAACCCAGCGTGCCGACACTTTGGACATGTGCAGTTGGTTATGAATGATGATCCATGGTCTGCCATAGCTCAAGTCGGTCTCATGCATAGCCATTTGTATTGTTGCACGGCGATCTTCCTGAACTGGTGTCTCGACGTTGTTCACGGTGTCCATATGATCAATATGTGAGGGGCGTCCACTTCTTGGCTCATCTGTGAGGGACATGTGACCTGTTTGGAAATTCCTTTTCGATGTCACAACAGTGTCATAGGATGGGCTATTATCACCATAAACAGATTTAATCTCATCGTGAATTTGTCGTGCAGTGCAGCCCTTCAAGTGCAAGAACTTAATAACACTGCGCGCCTCAATATTCTCCATACTTGGGGGTATACTGGTGTGTGTGATCAACTAGCACAAGACTGGAATGTAGTGAAGTAGATACTACTTGGTCCATTAACTAGATAAGGATCACTGATGTTACAGTCAAGCTTTTATTCTGATTGCTCAATACCTTCTTGGGGATAATTGGAACTTTTTGATACCCCCTCGTAGCTGGAATATAAATACACAAAGATTGGGTCAAATAAATAGTACTGGCATGAAGTAACATTACGAATGAATGCAAGGCCGCTCTAAAATGTTCCGAATTATGTCACAAACCCATCTACGTTACTGAAAGGGGATTGGTGTCTGCATTTAATCAGCATTTGTCAAGTAGATAACGCAAGTTAGCTCCAAAATGACATCGGCATGAAGTAACATTACGAAGGAATGTAAGGGCACTCTAAAATATTCAGAATTATGTCAGTGTGGAGTGCCACAAACTTACATTCCTTCGTTATTTTACTCTATTACTGGAGTGAAATCGGTGTTTATATCGATTCAGTATGTGTCAATGAGGTAACACGAAAATCAGGTCGAAAATGCCTAAAAACGCAATGGCATACATGTAAGTACAACCAGTCTTTTAGGAACCGTCCGTCCCGGAATATTTGAACTATTGCATCATTTTGGTATTTACACAACTATGGATATCATTATAACTCCAGAAATCCACAGCAACAATGGATATCATTATAACTCCAGACATCCACAGCAGGTTTCTGTTGGGCACAGTACGGTTACCTCACAAAAGCCATTATGTGTTGCATTCAATAAACTGTTGTCTGAATGGATGTAAAGATAATGTTTGGCTAGCATGTGAAACACCTGTGAAAAATACCAGTCTACAGCTTATTTCTTTTTTATCACACGTATTTGAATATAATTGAGGTTCAGTATTATACCGGACCAGAAAGAAATCAATATCGTCTTCATGAGTATTATACGAATGCTTCAATCAATACTTTGACCTCAAGGTCTTCAAATTGCGGAAAGCGATACAACACATTCGCCTTGACCCATACACTTGTGTTCCCATGCCGACAAATGATGGAAGGGCGAGTAAAATCTACAGCAGTACAATGGCGAGGGGAGAAGCTTAAATATTCGTTACAATATACAATGTACATTCAGGGTCAAGGTCACAGATATAATACAAAACAAGGCAGACAGTTACAAATAACTCATATTTAGCAACCACATGAACTAAAGTGAAAAACATATTATTTAAAAAACATTCACAATTTAGAAGAATATCATGATTTTAAGTATCTCAAACTCACATGCCTGGAAGCATGTTTCAGATTTGCTGCCTCATGACACGGATACCTTGCTACTGAGACTGCGACGTCCTCCCAAGAAAACAGTAAGATTGACAGTCAACCTTTCGTCAGGGAATACCTTAAGGAGGCTCACCTTCAGGTCGCAGTCCTTGTGAAATCACCCTTTCATGACTTCATCGAAAACCTTGGCAGGCATGTCCAATTTTATATATTTACTGATGGTTTCTGTCAATGTTCACGTCTTTGTGTTCATGTTACGTCAGGGTTCTTTTAAGAAAAAGAAGATACTAATCTTTAAATATTACTTCTGAAAGTTGCATTAGATTTGAGATGCCATGTAACATTAATTTCAGTATATGGCTAGGGTGGTGCTGAGTGCAGCCTTGAACGAGTAATAAAACAAACCTTTGATTATTGAAATTAAGTAACATTACCAGTTCACCTTTTGCATAGAATAGGATGAATTATATGAATCCATCCTGGGTCTATAGCTTGTACTCAAGAGCTTTATGACTAACCTCATTTTTTTTAACCTCATGATGCTAGATGCATCGCGTTGAACAGGATTGCGGTAACGCATTTAGCTACATGACATACATACTTTACTTAGTGAGTGTAAAAACATACCGGTGGTGCACGGTGTTGGTAGTGTAATTTTATCTTGTTTAAATGATGTTTGACTAGAGAAAGATATTTGAGTAAGCGTTTCGTGTGGACGAATGGTGTTCCTATTTCACTCCGTGGTTACGATGGCCCGATATTAAAACAATACAATCAATCTTATATGATCATATACTTGAAGTGAAACGAGAAGTTTGATACTTTCAGCTATCAATCAAAGGGCTTTGTGTTTCATTTTACAGTATGTTAGTTGTAAAAGCACACTACATGTATCGATCTTGACATTATACCTTACATTTCATAACCATATTTGACACTTTCTCTATTCAGGCAATGGGTTGCAAATAACTGTTACGTTTTACTGTCAAGAACGAAATATGTTGTCTGTGCACGATATACACGTACCCGTGGACAACTCTCCAGAACCGAACTCGTAAACTATCAGGTATTTACTCTCCAGTTAACCAACATCGAAGTACCCAGCTCGAAGTTAGGATGTTGTTTTAACATATGGTATTAGACAGCTATTCACTATAGTTTTGCATCTAGTCCTATGGGTCAGGGTCGTATGGTCGAGTGTTCGTATCCCAAATTCACTCTGATTAAGATCTTTGGCTTTTCAAATGTACCCATGATGGTTTTTAGAAGAGTGTTGAAGAATATTTATGATGCGGGGCGGTGGGGTTGCCTCATGGTTAAAGCGTCATGCTCAAGACACGGATCGATTCTTTACATGGGTTCTATGTATGAAGCTCATTTCTCGTGTCACCCGCCTTGATATTGCTGGAATATTGCTAAAGGCGGCGTAAAGCCATACTCACACACTCGCTTATGAGGGGATGCATCAAGAAGCTCTTTGATTCGATCGTCCAATATATTTTTACAAAGCAATATATTCCCAAAAATATTTATTCCACATTCCTCGTATGTTCAACAGGATATGAAGTTAGTTGGTTTGAATGTAATTTTAATGTTTAAGACAACTAGTTGGTTACCTCCCTTTAATACTAAATATCATAAATAATGTGTTTCCAAAGTAGTGACGTAAAAGCGGACACGTAGACATCGTATAACTGTCATTATTGTGGATGCGTTTTTCACAAAATTCATGAATTTAAAACAACAAAATAAGAACCAAGAAAATATATTTTTAAAAACTATTGGACCAAATATGACATTTTGAAAAATGTTTAAGAATCAAAAATGCATACACAATTTTTAATTACTCAGGAGGCCAGATTTCAAATATAAGTCAAATGGTCCTTTCAGAAAACTACTTCATGTTCTTACAAAGAGACTAAAAGACCTTATTGAGAATGTTTTCATAACATCACCACGTTTCATAAATTGTTCAAGTGATTTATTCGGTCACCAGTTTTACTTTTCTGTGTGTTATTGGTTTGCCTCACATGCGGTAAACCCGTGAAGATCCGGGTTAGAATTGGTTTTCAGCAGCCCATGCTTGTCGTAAGAGGTGACTAACGGAGTCGGATGGTCTGGCTTCCTGACTTGGATAACACATGTCATCGTATCCCAATTGCGTGGGTCGATGCTCATAATGTCAACCTTTGGATTGTCTGGTCCAGACTCACTCGTGTGTGTAGAAGTTGAAGTTAAGCAACGTTGAACACGGGGAGTCCTTTGATGGGTGACCGTGTTTGGCAGCTCGTCAGATGAGTTTCTGGGACATCAGTCCTGCCCCACAACGACACATGTGGTCTCACCTTAGGCAAGGGAGTTTGTTCAAAATGGCATCTGTTCAATCAGTAGTGAACGGGTACCCAGTGGGATAAGTCAAATGACTGATAACCTTCTAGCGCCTCACAGACAGCTTGGGTTAACCGGGGTAATAAAATAGTTCGTCCTAAGCGCCACTGAACATCTTTGAGGTATATATATGTATATGTATGTATGTATGTATCTTTTAGAATTCCGAGACATGGGGGTCTAATGACTCCTTCCTATTTGTAGAGATCACTCTAAATTATATATTTTTCTCTATTCCACAGTCGATCGTATCCCCTTAATGTCCAGCACAAGTTAACAGTAAGTCTTGTAACATCTGTCTGCATGACGTACTCCTGCTGGACAATGTTTCCACGAAATCACAAGACAACAGGAAAAGGAGTTGTTCAGGTTCTGCGACATAATTGACTGTCTTGCGTTGATCGTCATTCAGTCTTTCACAGTTCCTTATATCACGACTTGCATAGGTTAATACAAGCAGTTGTGATATTGTACTAAAGTTGCACACTGCGGCGTTTAAAAACATCAACTCGCAACTACAACTCTTCACATTTTCCACTCCTTCTTGAACATGTCCGTCTATTGCAAAAAAACTGAAGCAGGTTTAGAATTGAAATTCATGAACACCTTTAGAAACAAAGGAAGAACATGTGTGACTACAATGGTAAGATTCAAGACTTGTTTGAGAGATAACGGTGTTAGTATCTGCACCGATTGCAATAAAGAAGTTGACTATCCATAGAACTTGGTTTTATTTCCTTCAAGATTTAAGACAGTGAGAACGTAATGGTTCAGTTAAACTGTAACATTTGTTATATGTATTGAGAGACATATTTATTGATTTTAACTGTTGTCAAATCTAACAACAAAATAGAAGTAAACGTTCTCTTTATGAAGGACAAAACGCGACGCTGACGTTTCTGTTGATTATTTAAAACCACGATCGAAAGGAAACCCCAAGAGGGCATACCAAACGAGTGCAATCTGTCATAATATGCCGACGGAATTTTCGAAAATTTTAAATTTAATCCGTAAAAAAATAAACAAATTCCTGAGACAAAAACAACGCGCTTTGTGTGTTTTCATTAAACGGCTCTTTACGGTACAACGGGGCATCGCATTTATGTACGTATTGCACATGCAGGAGGGTTATGGCTTCACAGCGGTTGCAACACACGGTTCGGCAGCTTTTTACTGACAAAAGTACAGGGTACTCACCCGTTGAAGATATTATTGTTTCATAATTTTGCAATGTTATTACACATTGTGTTATAACTTCACGTGGTGCCGTACGGATGACGTAAAACTGGTTTACAGTTATGACGCCACAATGCTAATTACCTCTGTCACTATAGTGTTAGACCTTGCTTGACTCGCGGAAAGCAGAGAGTCATCACACTCGATATTATTTTGATAATGTTATTTTGCTAATGAGTAATAAATAAAATACTAAATGATGTCCCATGTAATACCATATTTATGAAACTCGCGAATGGTAGATACCAAACCATTCACTCGTTTCATAAATATGGTATTACACGGAACATCGTTTAGTATTCTCTATACATGTTGGGTTTGCATTTCAGAATGTGTCACCAGGAACCCCGGGCTTACATTTGATTGTATGGTCCAGGAACGTTGACGTTGCGTGGCTCGTACTTGTAGTTACTGGTTCAGACTCCATAACTTACAAGTCGTCATCTAGGCTACTGCTTCGCTAAATAGCGTACAACTGGAGACATCGTTGTTTTCTGATATGGATCTATATTTCCAATTTCCTTGGAACATTCATTGTACATTTAGAAACTGGATTTCTTGAGGCATGTTGAACAAAGTAGCTTTGAATTGCCATCTTCCCGTCTAGATTCCACACTTGTCCACAAGGCAGGTATTCAGTGGTATAATGTTAGCGCAAGCAGTGGTTGTTGCGAGGTACAGGGGCGGTTGGGTAACCTAGTGGTAGAAGCGTTTGCTTGTCACGTTAAAGACCGGGATTCGATTCCCCACATGGGTACAATGTGTGAAGTCCATTTTGTGATATTGCTGTAATATCCCACTCATTCACTGTTACGAGGTACTACCCTTCTCTGTTTTTTGTATTCACCAGTAACTTCCAAATCTCCAAATAGATGCTTACATCGTTGACTACATGCAAGTGATGGTCGAAGAGGTATGCGTTCGCCGAAGACCCAGGTTCGATTCCCCATCATGATACAATGTGTAAGGCATATTTCTTGTGTCCCCCGTGTGATATTATTTGAGTATTTCCAAAAGAGGCATAAAACCTTACTCACTCACCCCCTCTAGGCATCATCTCAACCGTGAGCATATTTAGTCCTTCTTTGAGCCATCTGCATCAGCAACGATGACCTTGAACATGAAGTCAATCCTCTGCAGCATGTCTACACCCCTCAACCAGAATCCTAACAAGTTAGATGGCCGATTCAACTGGCATTACTTCAAATCAACAATTCACACACTTAAGGAACATGCAGATGATGATGATTTGGATATTCAGCGTGCGCTTTCCGTCATCATGCGTATTTCGCACACGTTGCTCAGAGCTGGCATTGGCAACCTTTTCACATTTTCCCAATCCCGAGGACCGTCCTTCGAGTTGCTGATGGCAGTTGTTCTCTACGTCCAACAAGCAACAACACCCCCAGAGATACCCGCTTTAAGGTTCCACAGCCAAGGCAGGCATTTGATTAGTTCTCTCAAAAACAGGAAACGTTTCCCAGGCATCAAATCAGTTAGACAAGAGTCCAAATTATCTTTAAACATCTGGACTTCACAAAAATCAACGTTTTGGAAGCCACAGAAATTTGCCGTCACTCACCTTCGATCAAACAGAGTGAGTGAGTTTAGTTTTACGCCGCCCTTAGCAATATTCCGACAATATCGTGACTGGGGACACTAGAAATTATCTTCACACATTGTACCTATGTGGGGAGTCGAACCTGGCTCTTAGGCTTGACGAACGAACGCTTTAACCACGAGGCTACCCCACCGCCCCTCGAGATCATGGGTATTACTATTGCTGCCTAAGTAAAGCTAATCAAATCTATCTTAACATATCGTCAAATTAGTTGATAAGCATCTAACCAGCTTGTAAAACATTCCACTCCTTGCCTTGTTTTCTACATTTGACCTCATCCGATGATGTGCTACCTTGTCGGCATTACCTGTTAAAGTTAAACCGCAGCTTGTGACGACATACCATGCATACATGTATACAACTCTCATTACTGGTTGTAGTCAATTCAGCATGATAACGGTGTAACAATGTAACACCGCTAAATGTTCTAAACATGTTAATATCCACAAAGTTTCATGTTTGTCTCTTCACTCTTCAACAATTTACCCATCAATTCAAGCGTCAGTCAGATTGTTTCCAGGTGATTACATACCCGTGAAGATCCGGGTTAGAATATTGATCTTCAGTAACCCATGTCCGTCGTAAGTGGCGACTTAAGCGATCGGGTAGACAGGCTCGCTGACTTTGTTGACTCATCGTATCCCATCAATGCTCATGATGTTGATCACTGGATTGTCTGGTCCAGACTCGATTATTTACATTGAGCTGGAATACTGCTGAGTGCGGCGTAAAACTAACTCACTCACTCACTCAGGTGATTAGATATACGGTTACAAATGATATCCGGAGCGTCATTCAGATAGGAAATAGGAGCTCTCTCGGTATCCATCTTAAAGCAATGAAATACAAGGATCACTATACAACTGCTCTGATAGCACAACTGATCCGGTAGATGCTAACGTAGATAGTAGCGATGTCGTCTATGGTATGCACAAAATCCGTTTTGATGTGCAGGTATTTGTCAGTTGTAAGGGGATCCGATACACCAATCGCCACAGATACTGTATGTGGTACACTGACTGACTGACTGAGTTTGGTTTTACGCCGCTTTTAGCAATATTCCAGCAACATCACGGCGGTGGACACCAGAAATGGGCTTCACACATTGTGCCCATGTGGGGATTCGAACCCGGGTCTGTCAGTTGTAAGGGGATCCGATACACCAATCGCCACAGATACTGTGTGTGGTACACTGAAACATTTGTCAAGTATTGTGTTTGTTGTTCCAGCTGAATGACGTGTCTGGACCAGACAATGCAGTGATCAACATCAAAAGAATCTATCTACGCAGCTGGGGTACGATTACATGTGTGGACCAAGTCAGCCAGTCTGACCACCGTAAGACAAATTCTAACCCGGATCCTCCCTGGTATACTGAAACAGCTATGTTTGTTGGTATACCCTCCACTGAGTCAATTTTCGTTGTTTTGTTTTGTTTGTTTCTCCAGCTATATGACGTCCGTCTGGACCAGACAATCCAGGGATCAACAGCATGAACATCGATCTACGCAATTGGGTTACAATGACATGTGTCAATCATGTCACCTGACCTCGTTAACCGCCTCTTACAACAAGCATAGATTGCTGAAGACAAATTCTAACCCGGATCTTCACTGGTATACTGAATACTACATGTATGTGCAATGTGTTTGTTGGTGTACCTCTATTGTGTTTTGTGTGACCGTGTTCTAGCAATTCCGTTTGCTTTTTCTAGTGCAATGTTGCTGTTTTGTACTTTTCTGGTCAGTTGAGCCTTATTATGACGATGTACAACCTCTAACAGTACCGACCCGTGAAGGTCCGAGTTAGAATTGATCTTCAGTAACCCATGCTTGTCGTAAGAGGCGACTAACGGGATCGGGTGATCGCTGCCTTTGTAGACAGACGTCATCGGTTCCCAATTGCGTAGATCGTTGTTCATGCTGTTGATCCGTGGATTGTCTGGTCCAGAGTCGATTATTTACAGACCGCCGCCATATAGCTGGATTATTGCTGAGTGCGGCGTAAAACTAAACTCACTCACTACTCACTCTAACAATACCGGTTTGCTGAGGGCATGTTTCCTCTTGCCTTTGCACTTTGGTGTTTTAGTCTCGATTGTTCATTTGCTTTGTTGAATGGTGAGAAAAATATAGCACCAAATACAAACCGTTTTCACAAACATATTTATTTCTCATATACACTCTGAAAATATACATTGCTGAACCCAGTTCAAGGTCGTTGCCATGGCAACAGACAACTCTGCGTTCACTTCCTGTCTGTGTACAAAGTAGGATGTTCAACTGCGGCTGTGCTGCGGGCGGGCCTGGGCAGGGAGCGTGTTGTGGAGGAGAGGGGATTGGCACCAAGTACTCAGAAATTATATCGACATCATTGAGAATGGATGAAATATGTTACATATTTGCGTGTTAACGAATGTTCCAAGTCTCACACACTGAAACGTCGTCTATTCTTGTATACAGGCACATGGAACGTATCCATCACTGCTGACCCAGCCTAATGACGTCATCAAGATCACGTGCTATGGCTTGAAGTTCATCGGCCAGTATTTGAAGTCTGTCTTTAAGATCTATATCATTCATTCCTCGTCTTCCCCGGAATAACCTGTGCGGAGAAATATGGACTCATTTATATTTAAGTTGTGATTATTACAAGAACTCATTTCCACAATAATATGTCATTCAACATCCTTTTATGTACATTTTACAGCACTTTCCAAATAAATCTCAATACAGGTCAGACTGGTAATTAAACACTCCTGTCATCGATACTGACACGCTTGTAATTTGTATTTCATATATTACAATTTGTTAATGCTCGTGTATGAAATAAGTTAAATGTTTAAAACAGTAAACTATTTCCGCAACATCATTGTGTACAACCAATGTCTTTTTCTGTTCGGTATTTACTAAGTTTGACTGACATGTAAGTCTGTTTGCGTTGTCCCTAAAATCTTCATGGAGGAAAGAAATAAAACGTGAAAATTTCTTTTGTCACTTATTTCTTATGACACAGCACACAGATCTGCTCTTGTTACTCCAAATGTTCTACACAAGACACATGCTTCGAAAATTGATCTCAGGAGAATAAAGTTCCGTTATTCTGAAATATCTTTTGCCTATTCTCAACGCAACGCTTGCATTGCACATACAAATTAAATCACTTCATCAGTCGATTGTTCGCTCGTAGGGATTCGTGACGAGACCCAAGCTATACATGCTGGTCGTAGCCAACCAAAACGATCGGGCCGTCGATGACGTGGTTGTGACTGCGTGGATCGTTGACCCACAGGTCGTCGTCGTAACGGTCGACAACGACTATAGCCACAACACTTGCAGCAACACTGTCAACCTACCTTCTGCCTGCGTTTCCTCCACCAATACCAGCGTATGCTGCCCAAAAGAAAACGACGCATTACTTCAAAGAAACAATTATGTCTTTCATTTAGAGGATTTTCTTTTAATGACTTAATTAATGCATAACATTCCATAAAATTGGCGGTTTATTATAACGTGAATGACGTGCAACCGTATCCTGCTCACAATATCAACCACCGGTCCAGATTCGATTAGTTATAGAGCTTGCGGAGATAAAAATCAAAAGAACGAATGCATAACGGTGTCTGACTAATATAGACTAACCGACTGGGGTGTTGTTTCTTTTCTGCGAGTTGGCACGTGCGATATCTAATATCTGAGCCAGTAGTGCGCTTCTGTCACCAGATGATGCCCTCACTGCTGCTCCGAGGTTGTTCCGGTTAGCGATCACCTGACGTATCACGTGCTCAAGTTTCCTCCCATCATCCTCTTTGGCCGGAAAAGCTGAAATGGAACATGCACATTATTGTACCCACATTGCCTAACTAAGCGCTTCCACGGGACTCAGCAGAACAGTTATCTTTCAGATCTTGCACGTTTGTTGTTTAACGATCAGACAATCCAGTGATGAACAACATGAGCATCGATCTGCGCCATGTGTCAACCAAGTCAACGAGCCTGACCACCTGATCCCGGGTCTTCAGATCTTTATACTGATGAGAACAACTGAATTGAACAGGGACAAATATGCAATTATAAATGTACATGACATTTTGGATAACATCCCGCCTAGTGGAAGAAAATATTTTAGGTCATTTCTAAGTTGATTGTCTCGTTTTTGTTCGAATCTATGTGCTTGTAATTGTACCGACACATCCGAGAGCTGCCATGGGTCTGATGGTCAAGAAGAAACCCACTTTCATAAACCATGTGCATATTGTGCAGACCGATTAATCTGCCGTATTTAAAACATGCCTATTTTGAAACTTACCATGGATAATATTAGTGGGTTTCTTTTTACTTTTTTACTGAACACATTTGGTAAAATCACCCACCAGCTGATTAAAAGTGACTCCCACCCACACTCTGTCAGCACAATATAAATATGTTTGTGTAAGAAATGGCTCTTAAAAGTTGGGTGCAGACATGTTTCAAGAACCAAATGAAGTGCGTCTACGCAGCGCCTTCCAATATTAACTGACATTTTCCGTGTTTAATACTAAATGTACGGTATATTTTCACAGCGATTACATGTAATTGACCCCACGTTAAAACAACACCAGCGTATTAGTTTAGGATCAACATTTACCACTAGAACAAATCTAGTCCGTCAACCTAAAAGTATTCCAACAAGAACGGTATGACATGACATCTGAACCTTGGCCATCGTGCCTGAAACCAAATTTGAGGATGTATTTTTTTATTTGCAGAAGAAAACAAAGTGGTGTGTTTTAACAAATTAGGAGTGTTGGTCGTCCATTAATGCACAGTTTATAATAACGTGTATTTCCAATGTGAAAAAACAGACGAAGTCTTTAAAAACCTCTATTGAAGGTAGTTGATTCATGCTTGATAGGGTGTCTGCACATTGTAAACAGAAACGATAAAGAGATAAACAGTTTCACTTGGTTTGATAATGCTCGAACAAATGATTTCCAGAGAAGTAGATAAAGAAGGATTTTTTAGGTAACACGATCGTGTCTTCGGAAAGCTGACTACAATATAATGCTATTAAGCAAAGAAATCAATCTTTTGTCTTTGAAATACTGCAGACATCCTTGGAGGTGATTCGTTGGTTTGCTTAAGGCTATAAACGATTACAGGAGGAATGATGAAGATGCATCTCATCTAGTGTTTATATTGATTTCTGGTGGGTTGTAAGATTCATCGAAATAAGTGTGTATTAGTGTTTTCATTTTGTTTTGGTTTTTTCTTACCGCTGAATGTTTTAACTAGTTTCTATAATGAAAACAAAACTATAGGAAGCAAAAGTACCCTTTAATCTGTAATTTTAACAAGACCTTTAAAAGTTACTTGATATTGTCACACAGTGACTTTATGGCACTCTGTTTTGACATGGTGTTATCTTTCAAGATTATGTCTTTTTGACTACTTAACTTTTGGAAACTGCTTAGTTTCATCTCGTTAGGGTAATTTGTGCCTCAACGTATTCATTCGTCTTAGCCAAGGTATAATTCTGAGGTAGTTCTCCTATCGACATATTCGCGTTGACAATATTTATATTTACAAGGTTAAAAGAATACCACAATGCTCTTAGTAACTGCCTCTGTGATTATTTCATACTTTCCGGTGTAGCAGCCCAGAATAACACCCCACCAGATTATACCCCGGGGTAAACTATGGGCTAGCCCAGTTTATACCCCGGGGGTATATTCTTGACCAGGCCAAAGTATACCCCTCCAGCCCAGACTATACCCCTAAAAAATTATGTTGACAATTCACTCAATATGAGGAAATAGAATATGTTAATTACTCTGCCATATGGGATGATGTCATATCTTAGTCTCTAAATGATCCACGTACCTAATGGATTCTGGTTTCCACAAAAGCCTTCCACCAAAGGTTATTGACGGAGACACAGCAGTAGCCGTACAGCATACGTATTACCAGAACTGATCTATTAGTCGAACATTAACATGAGGAGATAACGGGTGTAATGTATCTTAGTCATTAGATCTGGTGAATTATAAACGTCTTTGTATCAGGTATCTGTAAGATATTACTCTCAATATCTACATCCTGACCCATTACCACCTGAAACAAGCAAGATCTTATCATCAGAACTCATTAGGTCTTATTGTTGGCAGACATATGCAAATAGAGAACACTGATTGGACAAACTGTCACAGGTATTGGTACTGTTTGTTAGGATGACCTGAAACTCTATATCAGTCTAGAATTACTCACTGGTTTCTTCATGAAAGTATAATAACATCAATAAGGAGTAGAATTCAGGAACATTCATAGTATGGCAATGAAGCAGATCATCAGTGCTGGGAACAGTTTGTCTTAATGTGATTCGTGAGATACTGAACGACTCCATATCGTGCAATATAAAGTTATTAACTCGATGCTTTCATCAATAATATGATATGTCATGTTACAGATTTAGTGGTAATGCTGCTAGCTTTTACCTGTGTTTCTAGTTGGTGTTATTTCAAATTACCAGTAACTAAGGGAACCAATGAAGGAAGTATAGGCACCGTAAGTCCCATGGTCCCTAGGTCCCATGGTACCTTACCTTTCCCATTGGTGAACTGTTTGTAGTTTTTGTATCGTGATCTAACAGTCAGATGTTTTATTTTTCTGTTGCACGTTTTTTAAATGATTTGTGATACATTGTTATAATGATGTCCTTTGGAGGACATAGTTTACGGCATAGAGACAGTTCAGCATGTTTCAGTTACAATGTGCTACACTAACATTGCCGACGTTATTTCTAAATTCTAACTCAGAATGTAATTTGACCAGTCATCCTAGCGGACTTTGAAAGACAAGATCCGTCCCCGCAGTTGTGAAGCTACAACTGCTGTCTGAGATTGAACCTTTAATTACATGACAGTGTTGAAGTAGAATAGCATGGGAAACCAGCTTGTGAATGAACGGTACGTGTAGTTACATGTCTCAAACCTGCGATTCGGACTTGCAATTGGTCACTCGTTCATAGTATAATACTAGAAATACAATCCTAAATGTGTCCAGTGTTTATCACGAAGTCTTGGAAGAAGAATTAGATTTTTGTCCATCAGCAATTAGATTACTGACAAGCATCAGTGTCAGGAGTATTTGATTGAGAGTAATTACATCTTGTCTCTTTTTTTCAGGGAACTTTAGGCCAAGGATGAGGAGTTTGATGTCAACGTTTTTGGTATTATTTCATTGAAGGCAACCAATAATATCCAAAGGCTTCAAAATGGGATTTGATTTGGAGCCAATCAACTCTTTCAACCAAAGAAATGTCAGTGTGTATCCGCTGAGGTGTCTTAGTTTGATATTTGACTGCAAACAAAACGCATGTCCATATCATAAAGTATCCAGTGGCGGTGGGGTAGCCTAGTGGTAAAACCGTTCGCTCGTCACGCCGAAAACCCGGGTTCGATTCCCCTCACTCACTCACCCACTCACTCATTCATAAAGTACCCATTGTTGGGAAATATGGAGAGAGACGTGATTGCTGATTAGAGAGGTGTAAGCCAATGTATCATGTAGTAGCCTATCAGGACGTCAGTTCTATTGTGTACGGTTCACAATAGTCCGGGATGTTACAATCTTTAGAAGATGGCAAACAAAACGAAACTCAAGGAATACGATACCATAACGAGAAAGACAAACACACCAGAAGTCTCCGTTCTATTCCTTTCCGTTATAAGATTCCGACTATATCATAAGCACGTGTTATGATTCACTGTCAAATAGTGATGACACCAGGTGTTCACGAAAAGGGTTACAAACAATTACAAAACACTACCTATTTAAATAAAAAGTCATTGTTGAGTTTATACAAAAGAACATTTCCAGTCTTTGAACTTCCTCTTCCGTTTACACCTCCATCAAAATGTTAGCAGTTTTTGTGGCCTTGTAATAATGTTACTTCAAACACGTTCTTCCATATTCTTTCAAGGAGAATTCGTAGAGGTACATTATATGTGGTTATAAGGACAGGAGACGCCGCCATCAAGTAGCAGTGTTACAATGCAATTATAAATGTTCCTATCAGGAGATATAAAGCAGTTTACCCCTAACAGTCACACCTAAATTGCATCTTTAAAAGAGTAATTGTTGGTACAAAAACATAATTATTCTCCTCTGGACCAAGTCCTGTATTCTAATCTAGTTTCGCATCCAGGGTTGACACTGTTTTCGGAATTAGAATTAACTTAATTCGCTTGTATTTAATCCTCCGCAGTTCCTAGTCCGGCAGTTAATTGTTGCTTGTCTTATGACTGTCATGAAAGTTCTCTCCTGTGCAGTTAATATGCTTCTTGATGAGTCTGGGGTATGTTGGACGGTGTTTGTAGTTGTCAGCGTTGTAGTCTTTCTTTAAAGACATGGCTCAGCTAATCTAGTCAAAGGCGTTTCGTGGCAATCATACATCAGCTTTGATATACTGCTGGCAGTCCACTAACCTGCTGTTGCGGAAGGCGTGAAACTGTCTGTCACTGAAACTGGGTACCGTTAAGATTCAGGAATTCGAAGTAGAGGGCCAACTAGGAAGAAGGGGTTGTAGTTAAGAGAAAACCCTGGCAGAATTGGAATATAAGTTTCTCAAAGATGCAGAGGACGGGCATTAGGTAGTTGTTATTAGTAGGTGTGCATAATGATGTTTCTGCCCTCTTCACAGCTTCGGGGGCGGTGGGGTAGCCTAATTGTTAAAGCGTTGGCTCGTCACGCCGAAGACCCGGGTTCGAATCCCCACATGGGTATAATGTGTGAAGCCCATTTCTGGTGTCCCCCCGCCGTGATGTTGCTGGAATATTGCTAAG